GTGCTGCACACCTGTAGTCCCAGCTACTTGGGAGGCTGCAGCAGCAGAATTGCTCGAACCTAGGAGGCAGAGGTTGCGGTGAGCCAAGATCACACCACTGCCAAGCCTGGGCAACAGAGCAAGACTTATTCTCAAAAATAAATAAATAAATAAAGTAAAAAGAATGAATGGGCCTGGCAAAGTGGCTTATGCCTGTAATCCCAACACTTTGAGAGGCTGAGGTGGGTTGACTGCTTGAGCCTAGGAATTCATGATCAGCCTGGGCAACAGAGGGAGACCGTGTCTCTACCAAAAAAAAAAAAAGTTAAATAAAATAAAGAATGAATGTACTGTTTCTCTAGGCACATTTTCCTGATCAAAGGTTTCCAAATTTGTTCCCATGAAGACAAGTGTTAAGTGGGTTCCTGGAAGCCAATACACTTTCAGAGGGACACCACAAAACACTGATATAATCTCACTGTGTGAATTAGGAATATTTTAATAGAAAAAATATGTCTATATATGAATATAATAGAATAAATCACAACTACAAACACTTGTCTTAAAATTTTTTAAGCTGTTAAACTAAGTGGTAATTGTTTCTACTGATTCCTAGTTACTTGCTTAATCATTTCATCATTAGGTAGTGCTCATCAGCACTTAAGCAGTAGCAGCTGCTACAAAAACCAAATAAAAGCAAAATTTTAAATAGAGATTATAATGCCCATTATCTTCAGTGTGTATTTTCAGGGCAGAGAAGAGAATTGGAAAACAGAAAAATAAAGATTATTTCAAATAATAATAGACTGACATTTGATTAGTCAATCCATGCACCTGACATTCCTAGATGCTCTACTCTTCTTACACTACAAGACAGCTATTTTTACTCACTTTATATATAAATAAAATGTAATTCCAGGATATTAAGAAACCTGCCCAAGATTACCCAATTAGCAAATAATGGGCTGATCAACTCTAAAATTAATACTCTTTCTCTTACATCACAATATCTTCAGTAAATGTAACTGAATCTTAGAGCAGTTTTTCTTAAGCCAGGTGGCCTATCAGATTCACCTAAAGGAAGAGTCCCAATTATTTGCATTTTTTTAAAGGTCCCCAAGTGATTGAGATACACAAAGGTTGAAAACCTCTGATTTAAAATTATCATTAATGGCCAGGCGTGGTGGCTCACACCTGTAATCCCAGCACTTGGCCGGGCTGAGGTGGATGGATCACATGAGGCCAGGAGTTCAAGACCAGCTTGACAAACATGGTGAAACCCTATTTCTACTAAAAATACAAAAATTAGCCAGGCATGGTGGTGCGCACCTATAATCCCAGCTACTCAGGAGGCTAAGGCTTGAGAATTGCTTGAACCTGAAGGTGGAGGTTGAAGTGAGCTGAGATCAGGCCACTGTACTCCATCCTGGGCAACAGAGTGAGACTCTGTCTCAAAAAAAAAAAAAATCTTTAACATAAATTTTTCAACTATATAATAAAACAGTTTTAACAACATATGTAGAACTGTTTACTACTATAAAAATGTAGAAATTTTGACTTGAGTCTATTTTTATTAAATTTGCTCTCTCCTGCTTCACTGTCAAGATGTCAGATATAACTGATTATTGTCATAATATGCCCACATCTCACAACACACCCCACCCACCATTCCAATTTGCTGTTATCTACTGTGTTCTGAGACAAGAGAGAACCATGCAAATTGGAACAGTGTATAAAATAAAAGCTAACAGGCTTTATGTGAGAGTCTATCTTATCAGTAAAGTACAGGCACTTTTAGCACATGAACTTAGTGATATCAAATTTGGTTGCTCAAGAACTTCTTTTTAATTTCTGATTTTTAACTTGGTTCCTAATTCTTAACCTTGTATATAATTCCTGATCCTTCACTCCTGATTCTATACAACTGTACATAAACTATTATCTTACTGGGAGATAATTTTTCCTTTATGTCTGCCTCTCTACCTAGATAGATCATGAACTCCTTGAGTTCGGGGCCTATGCTTAGTCATCTTTGTACTCCAGTGCTATCATAGTGTCATGGACGCAGCAAACCTTCAACAAACGTCTGCCTCCTAAATGACTCACGGAGGCTGCCCTGAGTGAAGTTTAATGACAAATGGTCATTTCTGACAATATATACAGAACCTTTCATGGAGTAACAATGAGCTCTGAGCCATTACGCTACAAAGCCATATAGATCCAATAGTCAACAAATCACAAGCACAAGAATCATGCAAGCCGGGCTTGGTGTCTCATGCCTGTAATCCCAACACTTTGGGAGGCCGAGGCGGGAGGACAGGTTGAGCCCAGCAGTTTACGATCAGCCTGAGCAACACAGTGAGACCTCACCCATACTAAAAATAAAAAAAAAAATTAGCCAGGTATGATGGCACATGCCTGTAGTCTCTTTTACTCAGGAGGCTGAGGCAGGACGATAGCTTGAGCCCAGGTGATTGAGGCTGCAGTAGGCTATGATTGCACCATTGCACTGCAGCCTGGGAGATGAGAGACAGTATTGGGAAAAAAAATCATGTAGAAAACATCAAAGTACATTACAGTCAAATTGCTTAAAACTAGTGATAAACAGAAAATTCTAAAAGTATTCAGAGGAGAGGGCTGGGCGCAGTGGCTCACACCTGTAATCCCAGCACTTTGGGAGGCTGAGGCAGGTGGATCACGAGGTCAGGAGGTCAAGACCAGCCTGGCCAATATGGTGGAAACCTCGTCTTCACTAAAAATACAAAAATTAGCCAGGTGTGGAGTTACTTGGGAGGCTGAGGCAGGAGAATCACTTGAACCCAGGAGGCACAATTTGCAGTGAGCCAAGATCCCACCACTTATTCAAGCCTGGACGACAGAAGGAGACACCATCTCAAAAAAAAAGTATTCAGAGGGAAAAGATACAACATTCTTTTATTTTTTTTTTTTGAGATGGAGTTCCACTCTTGTTGCCCAGGCTGGAGTACAATGGCATGATGTTGGCTCACTGCAACCTCCACCTCCCGAGTTCAAGTGAGTCTCCTGCCTCAGCCTCCCAAGTAGCTGGGATTACAGGCATACACCACCATGCCTGGCTAATTTTGTATTTTTAATATAGACAGGGTTTCTCCATATTGGTCAGCCTAGTCTCGAACTCCCCACCTCAGGTGATCCACCCACATGGCCTCCCAAAGTGTTGGGATTACAGGTGTGAGCCACTGCACCCAGCTGAAAAAGATACATTCTATACAAAAAGAACAAAGATTAAAAACACAGGAGACATCTCAAAGAAAGCAAGCCAAAAGACAGTGAATCATCATCTTTAAAGTAATGAAAGGAAAAAATGATCAACCTAGAGTTCTATACCCAATGAACATTTCTTTCAAAAGGAAAGCAAAATAAGGACTTTTTCAGTCATACAAAAGTTGAAAGAATTCATCACCCACATACTTGCTCTACTAGAAATGCTAAAGAATGTTCTTGAAGTAAAAGCAAATATGGAAATATGGGCCCAGATGGAAATATGGATCTACACAAAGGAATGAAGCAGCCCAGAAATGGTAAATATAGACAAAAGTGACTCCATCTTGGATGCTAACCCACCACATTGACTTCTGACTAGCCCCAGTCTCGTGAATGCCTCGATTCCTGCTTTATTTACTAGTGTAAGAACATGTCAAACTTGGTGTCGGCACACAAATGATAGAATATGGCACATGCAGCATTCTTGCCTGTTCTGGAGGGCTGTCTTTAATTGTCTTGCACAGGGCGCATACCCCATCTCCCTGGAGTATATAAGCCCTGGGTCTCGGGAGTAACAGTGTGGACTAACACCTGTCTCCACAGGTGTCAGGAATAACACTGTGAAGTAACACCTGTTTTGCAGCTACCCACCTGTCTGCTAACACCTGTCTGCAAGTTCTCTCAATAAATCAATCAATACCAATGAACAATTTGCCTGCGCCTCTGGTTTCTCGGTCCCTTCAGCATTCAAGGGTCACTTTGCTTATATCACCCTTTCATGCAACAATATGGTTAAATATATAAGCTTTTTTTCCTTATTTTGAAAACCTCTTCAAAAGATAATTGACTAATGCAAAAATAACAATATATTGTGGAACTTAAAACATGTAGAAATAAAATATATGACAATAGCACAAAGACCCAGGGAAGGGAAGAAAGAAAGTATACTGATTTTAGGTTCTTGTTCTAGATGTGAAAAGGGGTAATATTACTTGAAGGAGAGTGTGACAATTAAAGATGGTACTATAAACCCTAAAGTAACCACGAAAAAAAGAGAAAAAGTTGTATCTAATAACCCAACGTGAGAGATAAAATGGAATCATAAAAATTGTACTCAATTGAAAAGAGGGGAAAAGGGGAAAAAGAAGAAGAAATGTGACAAACAAAAAACAAATAGCAAGATTAAAACAAAACATACTCAATAATTAGATTAAATGTAAATAGCCTGAACACTCCAATTAACCACAGAGATAGTCAGATTGGATAAAAAACAAGACTTGACCAAACATTGCCTATAAGAAGCCCACTTATATAAAGACACAAATAGGCTAAAACTAAAAGTATAGAAAAAAATCTCTGTCATGCTAATGTTAATCAAAGGGAAGCTGGAATAGCTATATTAATACCAGACTAGATTTCAGAGCAAAGTATATCGTCAAGGATAAAAATAATCATTTAATAATGATAAAGGGGTCAATTCATAAAGGTATATTACAGTCCTAAACATTTATATACACAATAAGTCTCAGCACACCAAAACAAGAAAACAGAAAGTTGCCTTTCATGGTTAAAATGCAGTTTAAGTATTCCTGTACCAAAACTGAACATTGCCAAAATGGGGCTTGAGATCTTCTTTATGTAATCAATGGCATGTAATTTTACTAATAAAAGTACAGTATCCCCCAAAAGGGTCAAAGTTAGTAGTATGTTAAACAGTTTATGAAAGTATTTATGACTTCAGTGCCAAAGCTGATCAAAGTGATCTAAAGCTGACTCACCTTTCGTATTGCCTATCTCGTGGTAATGAGGCACTCCAATGTCGAAAGTCTATGATTAACATAAGTAAAAGGAGACAGGATATGAAGAAGAGTCCCAGGAATGCCACCCGCTGACGGAGAAATGGACTCACTGTGGGCACAGTGAAGTACCAGGAGGCTGGGCAGAGGTAGGAAAAACTGATCCTGAAATTAGACAAACATTAGTAAGTCTGAAACATGTCTACAATTGAGTGCTTAAAAATCATTTTTAAATTGGATAAAAGGCCCCCTAATAAAGGCAAAAATCCATGCCAACCGAAGTCTAAATGTTATTTTAGTCTCTAATTTTAGAAGACGTTCATGGTGCTTCTACTATATAAATCAGAAAAGCCTTATCTGCCCTTTTTCCAAACTGCACTTTTGAGTGCAATTTAAAGACTTAATCTCATGTTAATGAAAAGATCACTGTCTCCCTGGGCAACCTCATAACATTGAAGAATCAGAGTAACTACAATATTCCCAGCAAAGAATGCTGTAAGAAACCGGATGGTCCGCTGGTCAACATGGTGAAACCCTGTCTCTACTAAAAATACACAAAATTAGCTGGGCATGGTGGCACGTGCCTGTAATCCCAGCTACTCAGGAGGCTGAGGCAGGAGAATTGCCTGAACCCAGGAGGCGGAGGTTGTGGTGAGCCGAGATCGCGCCATTGCACTCCAGCCTGGGTAACAAGAGCGAAACTTCGTCTCAGAAAAAAAAAAAAAAAAAGAAACGGGATGGTCCGAAAATTTATTTAACTGATTTTAAAAATGTTTTACCAGATTATACATGTGCATAGTAAAAGACAATCAAACAGTTTAATAGGATGTATTGCATAGTGAAAAGTGACTCTTGCCCTTACCCCACAATCACTCTTAGAGGCAACCGTTGCTACCCAGTTGCTGTGTGTTTTTGTTTGCTTGTTTGTTTTGAGACAGATTCTTGTTCTGTTGCCCAGGCTGGAGTGCAGTGGTGTGATCATGGCTCACTGCAACCTCTGCCTCCTACATTCAAGTGATTCTCTTTCCTCAGCCTTCCGAGTAGCTGGGATTACAGGTACTTGCCACCACGCCCGGCTATTTTTGTATTTTTAGTAGAGACGGAGTTTCACCATGTTGGCCAGGCTGGACTCGAACTCCTGACCTCAGGTGATCCACCCGCCTCAGCCTCCCAAAGTGCTGGGATTACAGGCATGAGCCACAGCACTGTGCCGTTGCTGTGTATTTTTCCAAGGATATTCTACGGATACACAAGCATACATATACACCAATAAATCTACAGTTATATCTGTGTGTGTGTGTGTGTGTGTGTGTGTGTGTGTGTGTGTGTGTCCATTCCCTTGGTTTTACACAAATGGTAGTCCACCATACCTACTCTTCTGCATCTTTCCCCCACTGTACTTGATAATTGTCCCTTACTGGTACAAGTAGATCCACATTAATCTTTTTTAAAAGCTTCAGGGTATTCTAATATATGCATAAGTGTATTCATCTGTGAAGTTCACTTTCTATATTGATTCAAAAGGACCTCAGTCTGTCTGCTTTTAAAGTTCATTGTAAACAAAAAACAAAAAACCTCTTTGTTTAACCTTCTCAAGTGGCACCTCCCCTCGCTCAGATGCAAATCTTAAAGAACGTTACAACCTTGCACTTCACAGAGCTGAGCAAGCGGACTCACTCTGCCACCCCTGGACTGTGGGCTGGAAAATATTATTTTATCAGCCCTCACAAGAATACAACTTTGATCGTCTCTGCATCCAGTTGACCAGGGTACAAAGTCCAAGTACAGCTCCAGAGTAAACCTCACTTGTGAAGCCTCCCAGGATCCCCCAACCTGCCTGCCATCCTCTGCTGTGCTCCCAACCGGGAAGTGTGCAGTCTTACCTAGCCATGGGTTCCCTTCAGTAGGCTCAACGCCTGTCACCTTTTTCTTTTGCCCTGAGAAGGTGGCCTCCTTGTTCCAGGCATCTCCTACGTCTGCAGCCTAGAAAGATTTGATTTCAGGCTTCCGTCCGACTGAGCCCACGAGACGAGATCACCACGGGAATTCCACGGCTCCCACCTCCTCCCCAGGCTCCCACTCGGTCTGCTCTGGTTCCTCAGGCCCAGGGGACCCTACCCGGGCATCCTGGGAGCGGGGCGCTCTCGTGGGCCAGCTCTGTCCTCTAGGAACTAGTCGTCCCCAGGTGGCGGGGTGTGGGTCCCGCTTCCTCTCCCCGTCCCTCGGGGTCCCACAGCCTTCTCGCGCCCACACTCACGGGATCAAGCGGCTCGCCGGTTCCTTCGACAGCGCTGGGCTCAGTCCCGAGCTGCTCCCCGCGGCCCCTAGCCCAGCCGGAAGGAGAGCCCGGGCCGGCGGCGGCGCCACGTCCCCAAGGAAACCGCAGGGAGCCAATGACTGACAGAGTACCCACGAAGAGGGGCTGGCCCGCCACGAGCCGAGCCGGGGGCGAACCAGCTCCGTCAGCAGCACGTCCGTCCGCCAGGGTGGCCAATCCCCTAGAGCGCTCCGCCTCTAATGCCCGCCCCGGGATTTCGAGCCGCGCCCAATCGGAAAGGCGTCGTACGGAGGCTCCGCCTGCAGGGCTCACGGTAAGCGCACAGGTGAGTGGTGCTGGGCGGTCCTGCGCCCGCTACTCTCTCGGGAGCGCCAACTCTCGGCTGGTTACTTTCTCTGCGGCCGTTCCCGGGACAGAGTAGCTCCGGTGGGCTGGTCTCCGGGTGTTCGCGACCAAAGCGCATCCCTTGCCCTTAACCTATTGGAGGTTTCGTGCCCAATAACCCTCCCCACCAGAAGGGCAGTTCTCCCACCTTAAACCTTTCCTATCACCTCCCAACCGATGCCCAGAACTCCTTGTCTTGTCCTGTTTAAAAAACATAAATTGAAGACAATGACGTTTACACCAAAGTGCTTACGTTCATTCATTCATTCACTGAAGGTCTACTTATGCCGACTATGAGTTTCTGTGTGGCTGCCCTCCTGGACCCTACAGTAACACAAAGGCAACGGCGCGCGCACGTGTGTATGTGTGTGTGTTTCTTGCTTAAACCAGCCGTTATCTAATTTCCAGGAGGACGGCATAAAGTCCAAGGTCTTTCCAACGTGGCACATCCATTTCAGTCCACGATCCGCCCTACCGCATCTTCTCGCGCTACTCGACTTCCTTACCACGATCCAGCAATGTGCCTTGTGGTTTCTGGCCTCAGGCTTTGCTCATTCTGCCCCTCCACCTGCCCTGAACAACTGTCTCTGACTCGTAGCCAAATCACCTGCTACTCATCCTTAGCACACTTAAGGGTCACCTTCCCCTAAAAGCCCTACTTGATCTATTACACCTTCCTTATACATGGCTATTGTTTCACTTAGCACATTGAATTACAATTAAACGTATGTATTTGTCTGTTCCACTAGACAGAATACCGTTGAAGGCAGGGACAATCTGCTTCCAATATTCCCAATACTGGACACTGTCTGGCAGATAAAACACAACTAATATATCATTAATAAACAAATAAATGAATGTAGGGGGAAGAAGACCACCCAAATGCTTTTATCCAAAGCTTTCTATGACAAGGGAGTCAGTCACCATCACTTACATTTGGCCAACTCGAAGCCTGTCAGGACAGCAGGAAAACTATTTACTTACTTATGTACAGGGTCTCACTCTGTCGTCATCCAGGCTGGAGTGCAGTGGTGTGATCATGGCTCACTGCAGTCTTGACCTCCTGGGAAAGTGATCCTCCCACCTGGGCTCTACAGCCACATGCCACGATGCCCGGCTAATTTTTTTTTTTTTTTTATTCTTTGTAGAGATGGAGTCCCACTATATTATCCAGGCTGGTCTTGAACTCCTGGGCTCAAACAGTCCTCCCATCTCAGCCTCCCAAAGTGCTGGGATTATAGGCATGAGCAGCTGGCCAGGAAAGCTTAGTAGTGAACAAAAAGGGAAGGTTTCATGCGTGCTCTGACTTAGGGTATTAGCATGGGAAAGCTGGAGGTGGACTAACAAAAGCAGAGTCCCTTATGTGATTGATTTTGGGTAGCATATTTGGCTGTCTTTAGTGGGTCCTGAGTTGAAGAAAGGAGGGTGCAAAAAACCAGGGAAACTGACAGTCATTGACCAAGGCCTGATTATTCTGGGCTGGTTGCTGTTGAGGTTGTGTGTCAGAGTTCTAATTGTCATATAAGATCTGGCCATTGTCCAGTTTCTATATTCAGTTCTCATGACTACTGTTTTTGTTTTTGTGGTTTTTTTTTTTTTTTTTGCTCCACTACTCTCCTAACCTTGTTGAACTTCCTAATTCACCTTTCTTCTTCAATTCTATGTTCTCAGTTTTTTTTTTCTCTATCCCTCAATCCCCACTCTGCTTCAAGTGTTATATTTTATCTGGACCCCCAGAAACCACATTGAGTAGAATAGTTGCATAAAGTTGGGATTAAGCAAAAAATTATACAGATACCAGTTACTTTTATTATTTCAGAACCCAGTTCAGTTCCTAGAACAAAATAGACATGGAAAGAACTAGAAAAATGTTTTGGAGTAATTTATTTAAATTTCTTGCGGTTGCCTTCTGTGAGTTCTAAGTCTAATCTAATTTCCAACTTTAGTGTTCCATAAAATAGGTGTTTTTGAGTGAAAGTATAATTCCTATCTATTTTTTAAAATAGTAATTAATTCACATGGTGTATGAACTATATTAATTTATAATTCAAAAGTTCTTTGAAACATCCTCTAATTTACATTTTATAACTACATCATAAAACAGAAAAGACCTACATTTTAATCTCAACATTTTTTCATTGTATTTTCTTTGTAAAGCTTTCTTTGTCAGTCTGGTTTGGATGATACTTCCTTCAATAAATCCATATGCTCTCAAGCATTTGTAAAACATGATTCTTTACAAAAACCGGCAATGCTTATCTGGTTAACAGCTCATAGGGCTGAGTTCTGCGGTTTCCAGTCAGCAGGGCAAATTAAAAAGCACTGAGACTACTTCTCTATTTCATTTGCTATAACTCAACGTGTTGAAACAAATTATATAAACCTATGTTTCAAAACAGGGTTTTAACTGCTCTTTAAAGGCTTGCCTTACAATTACATTTGCAATTTTCTCCAGAGTGCTTGATACCCAGCCCAGAGCAAAGTCAGCCCAACAGGTCCCATATTAAGTGCCAGTTGTTTGCTTTGCTTCATTACCCATTGTGAATTCTCCTTCCCTCCACACTCCATCCTACCCTATCCTCTAAAGGAATTTGGAGGAGTGTCATGTGGTCTATACTCTCCCTTCCAAGTTTACCCATCTCTCTTCACTTCCCTTTCAGGCACCCCATTGTCCCAAGTAAACTCATTATCTCTCTACTCTCATCATATCAACCCAAATCTCCTCTGTCCATATATTCTCCATTTTGACAAAATATCCTGTGATTCACCAGAGCAGGAACCTGTATGGGAGTCATTCTAGAATATCTTTCTTCTAATTTTCTTTCTCCTTTTCCATCCAATTAGTCACTAGGGGTGCTTAATTCAAGTGCCTAAAATCCTCTCCAAGATCTTCTCATGAATATTTCCAACTGGGGCCCCTGTCTCCAGACCTATGCCCCTCCTGAGTGCCTCTTGATTCTGTTACCATTGGGAAATCTCATCATCCTACTTCCTGGTTTAAAATACTTCAGTAGTTCCTCTTTTTTAGCCCATCCTATGGTCCCATAGTAGTGTCTTATTCCAACAAGATAGAGTCCAAATTCCTTAGCATGGTCTGGCAGATCCCACTGATAGCCTACTCCAGAAGACAGTACTGTCTCTTTTACCTTGTTAACTTGACAAGTAACCACACTGCTTGTCCATGTGCTTGAAGGGTGCTAGGCTCCAACCTCACTCCCAGTAGGTAAACCGTGATAAGTTTACCTTATCGACCTAGATAAGTCAATCATGGTGGGTCAATACCCTCACAAAATATTGGTTTAAATGGGTATATGGTATAATTTTAGCTAGCAATATGGAAGGGAAGTCAGCTGTTGAGAGTAATGGTCAGGGAGGAGGGGAGACATTTCTAGGCAAAGTTTTCTTCATCTTAAAAAATGATACATTCAGCCGGGTGTGGTGGATCACGCCTGTAATCCCAGCACTTTAGGGGGCCGAGGCAGGTGGATCATAAGGTCAAGAGATCAAGACCATCCTTCCCAACATGGTGAAACCCTGTCTCTACTAAAAATACAAAAATTAGCCAGCCATAGTGGCAGGTGCCTGTAATCTCAGCTACTCAGGAGGTTGAAGCAGGAGAATCACTTGAACCCAGGAGGCAGAGGTTGCAGTGAGCAGAGATTGTGCCACTGTACTCTAGCCTGGGTGACAGAGCAAGACTCCATCTCAAAAAAAAAAAAAAGATACATTCATATCAAAGTTATTGAAAGAAAAAAATCATACAGGTATAAGTCAATGAAAACTTTACATAATGGGGCTGGGTGTGGTGGCATGCAGATGTAATCCCAGCTACTTAGAAAGCTGAGGTAGGAGGATCTCTTGAAGCCAGGAGTTCAAGGTGTTTTTGAGTTGAAGTATAATTCCTATTTTTTCAATAGGACTTAATTTATATGGTTTATGAAATATATTTTAAAAGTTTATTGAAATATCCTCTAATTTACATTTTATAACTACATCTCAAAACAGAAAAAAAAATCTACATTTTTTGTTTTTTTTTTGAGAAGAAGTCTCACTCTGTTCCTCAGGCTGGAGTGCAGTGGTGTAATATCGGCTCACTGCAACCTCCACCTCTCGGGTTCAAGTAATTCTCCTGCCTCCACCTCCCGAGTAGCTGGGATTATAGGCATCCCAACATTTTTAAATTATATTTCCTTTGTAAAATTTTGTCAGACTTATTTTGACAACACGTCCTTCAATAAATTCATATGCCCTCAAGCATTTGTCGAGCATGATTTTTTGCAAAAACCTGCAGTGCTTTATCTGATTATCAGCTCATAAGGCCAAGTTCTGGGGTTTTCAGTCAGCAGGGCAAATTAAAAGTATTGAGACTATTTCCCTATTTCATTTGCTGTAACTCAACATGTTGAAACAAATTATAGAAACCTGTATTTCAAAACAAGTTTTTAACTGCTCTTTAAAGGCTTGCCTTATAATTACATTTGTAATTTTCTCCAGATGTGTGCTATGATTGTGCCTACGAATAGCCACTGGTCTCCAGCCTGTGCAATATAGCAAGATCCCATTGCCTTTAAAAAAAAGTTACATAATGAGACAGAAAGAAGAAAAGGCCCCCTTTCTACTTCTGGGTGTGATCTTTTTGTTGTCGTTGTTATTGAGGTGACGGGGTCTTACTCTGTTACCTAGGCTGGAGGACAGTGGTGCAATCTTGCCTCACTGCAACATCTGCCTCTTGGGCTCAAGCGATCCTCTCGCCTCCCAAGTAGCTGGGACTCCAGGCACGTGCCACCACACCTGACTAATTTTTTTGTA